AAGTCATTCATCATCATCATCAAAGTAGCTAACATTTATTTGTTTTATATCTTACAGAGGACTCTTCCAGTTGGATTCTCCTAACATTCTTGTGAGACAGATAGCTTCCTAATTGTGCAGATAAGGAAGCTGAGAGGATTTCAAGTCCATGGGGGTGGGATCTTTGGCTCTGGAGCAGAGCTGTCTGATAGATCTTTTTACCATGATGGAAATATTCTCTACCTGCATTGTTCAGTATGGTCACCACCAGCCATATGTGGCTATTGAGCACTCAAAATGGGGCTAACATCACTAAATTTTAAGTGGCTAGGGGCTCCCACGTTACACAGAGCATCTCTAAAACCTGTCCTGTTCTTTGCTTTGCCATGCTTCCTCCATTTAATGCAGAAATCCTGAAGACTGAGGGAAAGAGAATGAGCACAAACTCTAGGATCCAATTCTTTGGCTACAAAACTTTTCCAACACCGAAAGGAATTACAGGAGGTTACCTATGAACCTTGCATAATTTCCCTGTGTAAAGGTTGCTAGGCTGTGGAATATTCTGATTTGTCTGGGGCTCTTAATTATGTATGCTGTCCTCCCAAAAACCTCCAGGACAGGCTAAGCCAAACTCTCTCAGTCTCTTTCTAGCCATATGGTCTTATGACAAACATGACTAATTCCTGCTCTGTATGGTCTGAATCTTGTTAATCTGCCAACTGCTTAGTAGCCATTATAAAGCAGCTTTATCTGGAGATTCTCATTAGAATGTGAAATTAGTCTAAGCCTAAACTACATTTTGCCAAATCCCCCCTCAGTCTGCTCTTGAAATAGAGTCTGTTCACAATAGAGCTTTTGTTTCTTGAGTGTCAGCCTGTCTTCCATGAGGCCTTCTGCTTTAAATTCTTTTTTTTTAATTTATTATTGTCAGATATATAACATCATTTGCTGTAGCCTAAACTTTGGTAGCATTATACATGTGTATATTTTTAAAATTTCAGGTCTGCACCAGAGGAAAAAATCCTTTGTTGTCCAATAAATAAATGATTTTATGGCCTCATAAAAATAAATTTAAAATATTACTTTGGTAAATTTCTTCTGACCTATTGATGCATCTAATCCCTTGTCATTAAAATTTCTCAAATTGTCAAGAAACCACTTTGCTTTTCTATGCTCTTCTTCAGTGGTGGTAAGTGATACAAAGAATCAGAAATGAACAGATTAAAACAAAATTAAAAATAACATTATACTAAAGAGGAGAGATATGTATATGTGGTTCCCTTAAAAATTTATAACTTATTTGTTAAATTATTAGATTTTACAAACCAGTTCATGCTAAGATGAAAAATTAGAAAAATAAAAAGTTAGCCAAAGACTTTCTTAAGTGACAAAGTTTTTTAAAAGTTTTTTTTTTTTATAAAATTCATTTCACCAAGCCACTCTTTACTTAGTGAAATAAAGACAATTTTAAAAAAGGGAAAAAAGAAAATGAACATTTTCTAGCATCATCCTTCTTAGGAAAAAAGGGTATTATAATACTGAAAAAAGGAGGAAACAAGGTCAAAATGAAGAATAACTACTTAAAGTGAGCAAATTTAGCCTTATAATGATCACTGCAAGGTCTTTTTTCTCACTCTGACCCAGACCTGGAAATATGGCATGTTGGAAGCCATTTGTAGTATAGAGTAGAAAAGTAAGTATGGAGAAGAAAAGTAAGTACAGAGAAGAAAAATAAAACTCCCCTTGAATTCCATCTTGCAGACTGTTTAATTATTTTATTATACTTTATCAGGATAGTTATGACTTTGTTTGTTAAAAAAACCCTGCATTTTCATTGATGATTCATTTCTTGGTGCTCCTTGCCTCTTCCTTCTCCACCTCCCTTTCTAGAGTGTTTGCAAAGCTTGCCTAAAGGCAGAAAAATTTCAAGTACCATACTATCAACACAGTTTTTAGAGTCACATAAGATTTTTCCATCTTGTTGATTCGCCTTAAAAAATATTTATCAGTTCAACCAAAACACGATGGGAGATAACTTGAACAGGAAGTGAGTGCCACTTGAAGCTGTATTTTCCTCTCTCCTTGTCAAGCACAGTTACCAAGCAGTAGGAGGAGTTATTGTATGCTAGGTAGGAGCTTGGGGTTTGCAGCCTACTGTCTAAGCATATCCTTATACTAGTTTGATAAGATTCCGAGTGTCGGTTTGCCCATCTGCAAAATGGGATGTCTATGTCTTCTCACTTATTAAAGTTGTCGTGAAGACTGAATGTCAGTTGGTTTGCACAGGGTCTGGACCATGGTAAGGGTGCAGTGAATGGCAGCCATTGTTATCTTTATCTGCAGGACCCTGGGCACTGGGTGGAAGGTAAAGAAGCCTTTGTGTTTGTCATTGTTTGGGCTGCATTGTGACTGCTCACTAAGTATCAATACTAATCATCAGAGAAAGTGGGTGGATGCTCTTTGGAAAGGGCACAAAGGGTCTGTGGAGGGCAAATGTCAGACTCTTTGATGTGCTTCTGGGTCATAGCTAGCTTCTCAGAAAACTCTCCGGACTCGAATTTGCCTTCTGCTGAATGTCGAGGTTTTCTGAGGCAGGGCATCTAAGAGGGAGAAGTTGAGAGAAAGCACAAGTGTGGGTGGGACTCCCCACAGAAAAAGCTGCCCACGGAATGCAGCAGGAGGTGGGGGGAAGGGGAGAGGGTGGTGAGGGTGTGGGTGGGACCTGAATCATCAATTGCTTTTTGTGAAGCGGTCCAAGATCTTAGATGCTCCTTGGGAGGGCTTAGCTTTCAGAGAAGAGAAGACAAGTTCCAGAAAAAAGTTTGTTGCTTGAGGAAAAAAGTGAAGATATTTTTCTTTTTATTCTGATTTTGTTTTTGTCGAGGAACAGGGGTAGGGTTGGGGAAAGATGGAATAGGTCATAGAAGCACTCAAAACTCCTTTGCAAATCTACCGGGCTAAAGCAGGTTTCATGTCTCATGTTCTAAACAAATATTAATTTATTTTTTTCCATCAGAACTTATTTGATCTTTGTTGGAGAGTTTTTGGTTAAGGGGAGAAACCCATTTTTTGCTGCAGATAACAATCTCTCCTTTCTTGGCTGTTCCCATCACTGGGAAAGAACTCTTGGCCACCAGCAGTGTTCCATATGGTATTATTTGAATCTAGAAACAAGGGTTAACTGGAATATTGAGGCTATAACTTGAAAAATTATTTCCAAATAATAATTCCCCTAAGCTTTATTTTCCCATCTTTCAAATGGGGATAATAATAATACCTACCTTATAGGGTGTTTGTGAAGAACAAATGTGATAACGCTTGAAAAATATGGGCATGGCGATGGAGGAGTCAGCCCCAAGGAAAGTCTGTCGATACCATGATTGTCGCCAGACAAGTGCAAAGAAGCTTGGCATCTCACAGCTTATGTCGCTGATTTCTGAGCTTGGGACCAGTGCATTTCCTTTTGTCACAATTTTCTGTCCTTAGGAACTTGTGGGGGCATGTTCCCCCAGCCCCCACCTCAGAAGACAAACTAGGGTGGGTGATAAAAGAAATTGCTGCTTCTAGTAAGCACAAACTTCCTAAAGTGGTGTCTTTTCAACACATTTTAATACATGATGACTTGAGATTTGTTCTACTTATGATGAAAAGATACTGGACAAAGCCGTGAGAAATATGTCATTGTAACACAATCAAAGCAGTCAGAGGGTGAAGGCTTTCTTATATATTCATTCTCTCACCTAGCTGTGCTGTGGGTCCTCGCCTCTCCCCACCCCCTCACTCATGCAGTTACAGGAACACGTCTGTCCTCTGCCTCCAGGTACTGGGGTCTCAGGTCCCCTTTCCTTCCCAGGAGGGTTGAGTCATGCTTTATTTGGAACCTGGGGCCATGTGAGCCCCCTCTCCCATAGTCGTAGGAAATGAAGGTAAAATGAGGCAAAGGTGCTTAAAAGTCTTAATAAAAGTAAAAAAATGAAGCCTGTCAATAAGTGGTGCCTCTTTTGAATCTTGCAAGCACGGTGATAGACTGTGCTGCATCTGCCACATTTTCACCTTTGTGAGCAACACTTACTAAATACATGGTTAGGCTCCCAGATGCATCCTGTGGCTATGAAGCAGAATTTGTATGATGTTTCATTTTTGTTTTTCCTGTTTTGAGCTAATTATTCCACTGTAAGGACACAGTGCATGCCTTTCAATCTAGGGAGTATTCTGTTTTCCCAATGCCTCCCAAAGCTGTTTATCAGACAAAGCTGGGAGCTGGGTTGGTCAAACAATTATAGACCTTACCCTTAAGGCTAATTCACTGGATCTAGGGTGGAGCCTAGGGAAACCTATTTTCATCACCCATCCTGGGAGATTCTGATGGGGTCAGTTCATAGACCCGTGTTTAGGAATTGCTTTATCAATTATACACACACACACACACACATACACACACACACACACAGACACACTCTTTCTCTCTCTCTCTGTCCTGCTTTCCAGCAGATAATAAATCCCTCCACAGGATCAGAAGCTCAGGGCCTCCCTTTTTCAAAGGAGACAGCCCTCAAGATGATTTTGAATGATATGAAGCCAGGCCTGGTCAAATTCCCAAGGATGGAATTTAACAGTGACTGATTACTCATCATCGGCTATTTTAATGTTATAATAAAGATGAATGAGAACTTGGGAGACGATCTCTCTATAACTCACCTATAGCAGTCAGTGCCCTTTGGCCATGGGGTAGGCTGCTGGGCCCGGAGAAGGGCACTTATTAGTTAATAGGTATGCACTGTGCTTATAGAGTGTTTTATTAAATGACAAAATCCTAAACCTACAAGAGTCCTATTTTGTGGCCCATATGCTGACTAAATTCCCAGATGACTTTAATAAGCAAAAGGCAGCTCATTAAAATTACAGTAGTTTTGCAGAGAAAATAGCTCCCCAGAGGAGGAGAAGAAAACCACTAGGCTACTAAGTTGATAGTCATCCCACAAGCTCCCTTCTCTTGCCCAAAGCTCACCGGTGGAAGAAAATCTGCTGTTCTGAAAAAGCTTTGCTCCTGCCTGGCTTGTCCTCCTCTGTGTGAAAGACACTGTCTGCTCTTCCTAATCAGTTCCCTCTTGCTGACCTGGAAGCAATGGAGAAAATTACAATTATGTGTGCATTTTGCTTAATAAAGAAGACATATAATATTAACTGCTGGGAGAAAATGAGTTGTTTTTCCATTTTGGTATAGAAACCTCAGTTTGCTTTCTAACAGATGATACTGTAAAGCGATAATTGCTTACTTCTATTAAATTAGCAAACTGCAACCTTTTGTTTCTATTAGAGGTTACTAGAATGTTTTCTTTGCCCTCAGAAAAAGCACTGTGCCATGCAGACCAAAGGGGCAGTTTCTGAGCTCCTCTCTTTTTCCCCCTGTAAGTTCTAAGTGCCCATATGATGCCCAGACATGCTCAGGCCACAGTTCTCACCGCCTTAGTGTTCGCTCTTTGGAGACAGCATCTCGAAGATCTCTTATCAGAGCACATCATTATGCAACTGTCCCTCATCCAGAGACACGGGAAGAGTCTTTAATAACGCTGGAGGTGATGAGCCTTCCACTTCAGCTCCAGCATGTGCTTTGTGTTAAATATAGCATTCTAGGACCCTTGCCATCACAGGTCCCTAGGGAGACCTTAGTCTTTAACTGACAAATTATGCAACACAACAGAACAAAAAATACATTATATTAAATGATATTGTACTATACTGTACTGTAGCTTATATCAGTGCTATCCAATGAAACTTTCTGTGATGATGAGAATGTTTTATATATGCTTTATGTAATAGGCAGCTACATGTAGTTATGGAGCACTTGAAATGTGGCTAGTGTGACTGTGGAACTAAATTTTAAACTGATTATTTTTTTTTAGAACTTTTTTCTTCAGCAGCTTAAAGTTTACAGCAAAATTGAGAAAAGGTTATAAAGACTTCTCATGTACCCTCTGCCCCAACTCATGCACAGCCTCCCCCATTCTCAACATCCACCACCAGAGTGGTACATTTGTTACAACTGATAAACCTCCATTGACACATCATCATTGCCCCAAGTACATGGTTTACATTAGAGTTCACTCCCAGTGTTGTACATTCTGCAGGTTGGGAGAAATGTGTAGGAAGCATCCATCACTAATGGTATCCTACAGAATATTTTCACTGCCCTAAACAATTCTCTGTTCTGCCTTCTCATCTTGCCTGCGTCTACCACTTCCACCATCTACTCACCACAGCTTCCAGCAGCCACTGATTTCCTTGCAATTTCCATTGTCTTGCCTTTTCTGGAATCTCATAGACTTGGAGCCATATGGTATGCAGCCTCTCCAAATCAGCTTGTAAGGTGCATTTAAGTTTCCTCCATGTCTTTTCATGGCTTGATAACTCATTTCCTTTTGGTGCTGAATAATACTCCATTGTCTGGATGTGCCAGTGTATCCATTTACCTACTGAAGGATTTTGGTTGCTTCCAAGTTTAGGCAGTTATGAATAAAGCTGCTATAATATCTGAGTACAAGTTTCTGTGTGGACATAAATTTTCAATTCCTTTGGGCAAAAACCGAGGAGTAAGATTGCTAGATCTTTTAATTTAATTTAATTATAATGAATTACAGTTTAAATTCAAATAGCCAGATGCACCTATCGGCTACTGTATCAAGTAAGATGGTACACATACTAAAGCTTTTTCTAAAAGAATTTGAAACAAAGTAGGGCAAAACAATATAACTTAAAAAGAGAGGTTAAAAGGATTAAGAAAAGCAAGAGTGAGGTCATTTGGAGCCAAGAATAAAGGCTCAAAGGGTATGCCAGAACTACCTCCATTATGAATTGACCCTGACTTGGACTGTGTTTTCTAACAGAGAAACATATGAAAGAGAAATCTGGTCAATCACCCAAATAAAGATGCCAACTCACCCCTTCGCCCCCCACAAGCAAACCATTTGTTTAGGAGAATTACAAAGTGATTGTAGTTCTAAGACCATCACTTCCACTCATCACTATGCGTGAGTATGGATCATCAGACATATTTGGGAGCCTGACACTAGAAACTAAAAACTTGGTCTTATTATTTTCTGAGTGAAATCAGCTTTCTGAAGAATGAGTAGAAGAAAATGACTTTTCTCCTCTGAGGCAACTTAAAACAACATGGAGGCAGGGGTGGTGGGAACCAGTATAAATTTGGCATAAATTCAGTTCCCAATCCTTTATGAGGTACTATCAAGTGCAGACCACAGTGATGTGCTGGGGATTCAAAGTGAATAAAGTAGACATGTGGGGAACCCATATGCATTAATTATAAGATCTTCATAAAGTGCTTTCAGAATTCAGAGCGGGGGCACCTGGCTTAACCTGGGGTGTCTGAGTGAGTGAGTGAATGTGAGGGGTGATGTCAGGCAAGGGGAGGTGAGATATTATGTCCAAGTCTTTAAGAAGAATTAAGAGTTAAGACACAGACAGAAGGAGGGTGATTCTAAACAGAGAGAAGAGCATCTCAAAGTGAAAAAAATCAGAGCAGCTCCAGGGGACTGGGCTAGAAAATGCTAAGTTGGAGAGTATGTAGCAAGGTGATGTCATCAGAGCCACTCAACTTTCTGAAGAAACAAACATGGCAGCCATGTGTGAGGGCGCAGTCTGCTCGGACAGGCGTACAACAATTCTTCTGACAATAAACTTACTCATAACGGTCAAAAACAAGATGCATGTCACATGCCTCGAGCTCATTCAGACACAGGTCGGGGGAAACTGAGAGACTTAAGTTCAAGTAATATTGTTAATATTCTCCGTCAAATGTGGGATCCAGGCCAGAGAGAGCTTTCTGTAGAAAGTTTTCTTTTCCCTTGGACTTTATCCTGTATAATATATTAATGTTTTGGTCTGTCTGTTGAGAAACATTCTGTAGACTAGAAGAAACTGACATTTTGGTCTTGGAGTAACTGAGTATGTATGGCTACAATCTGAGGGGGATAGAAATGATTTTTTCAGCGGCATATCTCTGTTGGAGAGATTATAAAGTCTGCTGCAAACATGAAGTCACTGAGCCTTCCTCTTTGCATGGAAAAATGTGCTTGCATGGACATGAGATGAGAAACACTGAGATGAAAATTGAACTTCATAGGTTTGGAGAGATACACACCAGTCACGTACCAGGTGCTCCCTAAAGACTGGAGACAAATACTGTCCACTTTAAGACACTCCCAGTTATCTGGCCTCTGGTGCTCACTCTGGAATTCAGTGAGTATTTAGGAAATGCTCGGCACCAGACTGTGGGGCATAGTGAACAACAAGACAGAAACAGGTCTCTGCTCTCATGAAGCTCACGTTCTGACTGGAGGATTTGACAATAATCACATTAAGCAAGAGAATGTAAGATAGTGGTTCATGCCATAAGGCAATATAACAGGGTCAAAAAACCGAGAATTACTCTACAGGGAAAGTGTAGGGCGAGGTGTCTCTGTGGAAGGGACACTGGGCAGACTTGAATGAGAAGGAGGCAACCACGCCTCCAAGATCCAGGTGGAGGGAAGAACAAAGGCTTTTAGGAAGGAATGGGATTGGCAGGTTCACTGAGTGCTGTGGGATGATTCCGGCTCTCAAGGTTTCCGAAGGTTCTGAAACAGCCTGTCCTAATTTGATCCCAGTTCCACCACATACACAGTATATGATTTGGGGCATGTGACTTAACTAAACTTTTCTGTTCTCTGAAAAATGGGAATATTATACAATCTACCACAGGATGTTTTTATAAGATAAAACTAGTAGAATATCTAAGAGTGAGCTTAAGTAAACATAGCTCTTCTTTAATAATTGGTTCAACAGAATTTTACCGAGCATCTACTATTTGTGCAGTCACTATGGAAACCATTATAGAGATTCCTCAAAAAATCAAAAATAGAACTACCGTAGGATCTAGAAATGCCACTTCTGGGTATATATCCAAAGGAAATGAAATTATTATCTTGAAAATATGTTTGCACCTTGATGTTCACTGTAGCAGTATTTACAATAGCTAAGACACAAAAGCAACCTGAGTGTCCATCATTGGATGGATGGATCAAGATAATGTGGTCAAGAAAATATATTTACTAGAATATTATCCACCCACGAAAAAGAAGGAAATCCTACCATTTGTGATAACATGGATGGATCTTGAGGATATTATGCTAAGTGAAATAAGTCAGATAGAGAAAGACAAATACTATATGATCTTACTTATATGTGGAATTGAAAAAAATTCATAGAAACAGACTGGTGATTTGCCCAAGGTCAGGGTGGGGTGGGATGGGAAGTGGGTAAGATGGGTAAAGGTGGTAAAAAGGTAAAACTTTCAGTTTAAATGAATTTAGTCCTGGTGTTGTAATGTACAGCATGGTGACTATAGTTAACAATACATATTATTTATACAAAGATTACTAAGAGAGATCTTAAAATTTCTCATCACAAGGAAAAAAAAACATAGCTATATGAAGTGATGGATGTTAACTAAGCTCATTGTGATGACCATTTCACAATATATACATATATCAAATCATTATGCTGAAAAAAATCATTATGTTGTATATCCTGGACTAATACAATGTTATGTATCAACTATATCTCAATGAAACTGGGAAAAATAGTGAGAAAGAATTTTTATTTGAGTAATTATAAAACCTGGGAAGGTTTTCTGTAAAATGAGACTAATATTAATTAGCCTGTCTATAATAACAAGGTTCTGGAGGGGACAATATATGTGAAAATGAATTTCAAGTCAATAGGTGAAATAATAATGCAAGGACTTGTAAAATTGTAGTCAGTGGCCTAGAAGAGTAGTGGAGCTAACACATGGTTAACCTAGGCACATGGAGGAAAAAAATAATAATTATTATTTCAGTATATTTTTTGAGCATCTGTTTACTATGTTTCAGTCTTTATGCTGTGAACTTATTGCCAGGGTATCTTCTTCTGCTGTGAGCTAGTCCTAATGTTTCGGGAAAGAGTTCCCTCTTTAGGCTATGACTTTAGGATTGAAAGAAGACATATTCACAGGGGAGAAACTTTTTATTGCCACATCACAGATGGTGTTTGTGAGCTAAATGTTGGGTTATTGTACCT